CAATAACTTTATTACACTACTAAAAAACCTTCAGAGGGTTTTTGTATGGTAAGGAACATAAATACATTATATATGAATCATTACGAAAACATGTTAATACAGTGGGGTACACATTCCACATAAATCAGTTGTGATTCAGAGAGAAACACAGATCATTATATATGAATCATTACGAAAACATTTTAATACAGTGGGGTAAACACTCCACATAAATCAGTTGTGATTCAGAGAGAAACACATATCATGGGTAATGGGTTTTGACAAAAAGCTTTTCTCACCAATAAAGACTGCATCTTCTGATTTGAATGTGAATATGAGGGTATTTCACGGTGAGGGTTTTTGAATTTCCATGAAAAACGTATCTTTCTGAAACATATGTTCACTAAAAAAGGCCAGAACATACTTGGTATTCACAGTTGTACACCAACTGTAAAGCACAGTTTGTGACTAGTTATTTTTTTTATGAAACTTTGATACTCAAATGTAATAAGACATTGTATACTAACTGAGCCAGATTTTTGAATATTATTAGAACGTTAGAATTATTCTCAATCACACTTACCGAGCATGACCCATATGCGAAGCATCATAAACCGTGGGACCACAACTATACCATAATACTTGTTTTCCATTCTGTGGAATAAACAGTTCTCTTTGTCTCGTTAAACTGTTATAAAGATACAACTGTGAGTTCTTGCTACCTGTTGGTGCTTGCCATGCTGGCTGTGTTCTTTTCTTACTATCTGAAACAATGAAGCAACAGAAAAAAAATCTATCAAACTCAAGGATCATATTGATAGATATTGGTCTTCAACAAATGCAGTATATAGTGGTGCGTCATATTGTTCAGCCTTTGATGATTTTGAAAAATTAATTAAAATATGATGCATTGTATGATGTGCATCTTCATATATATTATTTTATTAATGCTATGTTTTTTTATCATTTAGTCTTTTTTTTTTATTTTTATCTTATTTTGTATTATTTTAATTATCACCACATACATACATATACAATGCAGGCTTTCGCAATTACAAAAACTTACTAAAGCAGCAAATAAATAAGAAAATATAAACTATATGAAAAATAATAAAAATACATAATAAAAAAACTCCCAAACGAGAATCATATTTTAATCAGATTGGGTGAAATCGATTCTAAAATCTAATACTAATAATATGATTCTACTCCAGTAATATACCTGTAACTGAGCATATCTCAAACGATATACCGGTATCGTAATGCTAGTTTTTTTACAAATTTTATTTCACTACAAATGCTTCTAGAACACTTTGTTGCAGTTCAAACTATTTTTTCCCCAATTTGGGACATTTTCAACTGCTTTCCCCTACCAATAGAAAACTGGTGTGTGCTTCTGTGCAAAATTCATTAGTATAACACAAGGCAGGGGATTGCAGTCAATCAAACACTATGAATTATTTTCAGCCGAGCAGAGTCTTGTAATAATATGTGCATGCACATTTACAGTCAAACCTGTCTATAGCGGCCACCCAAGGGACTTTTAAATTTTGGCCTTTATAGACAGGTGGCCTTTCTATACAGGTTCACTAATTTATTCATGAATATTAATTAGGCACTGAATGTATTAAAACGGATCTCGCAACCCCATTTGACACACTATTACACCACTGTACACAGTATCCAAACACTTTATTACAAATAAAAATGTTGATTTTAAATTGTATTATGTAAACTAAAATCGATCATTGCACAATAATGAGTAGTATGAAAATTATTTGAAGATTTGTACAGTAAAGTTCATGTTCAGCAGCAGTTTGAGTCTCATTTCCTACTAAAGAAATCACTTAGCTTGCTTTGCTTAGCTATTCTGAATTTCTTTGTTTCTTTAAATATCTATTGTGTCTGGTAACTGTTCTAATAAATCTGAATGTTTCTGGGCTATAGCAAATCCTTTCAAGGAGAAGGAGAGGGACAGTTAG